AATAATCACCAGAAGTGATATGATCTAAAGCAATAAAGAAAATTATTGCATCTAAGATCATAAACTTGAAGTTTATATGTGGAAATAATACTACTAATACAAATGTGTTGAAGAAATCAAGAAAATATTGTTGTCCTGAAGACACAATAATATAAATATGTTTAAGAGTATTTTATAAAATATTGTTGTCCAGTAGACACAATAGCAAAGAAATTCTTAATGATTTTTAATATTATTTTCTTTTAAAATTAAATTTGTCACCTGAAGTGATAATAAAATAGTACATGTTACTAATATTAATTGTTATTATCATGTTTTACTTATACATTTATGTAGCTTGATAATATTTATTTATTTTATATTTTTATATTTAGTATTTGCATCAAAAACCACATGACCTGAAGTCTATAAGTGGAGATAATAAATATTATGAAGATGTTAAAATACATCAAGAAAATTTTGTTGTCTTGCAGACACAAAAACATTATCACCTGAAGTGATAATATAATTTGAGAATTTATTCAAATTATATCTTATCTTTCTAATTTTATTTTAAACTAAATTTGTCACCAGAAGTGATAATAAATGGTATATATTATTAATATTTATTTTGATTATGCTCTATTTATTTATATATATATATATTTACTTATTTTTTTTTATTTTATTATTCTCTATATGATATCTTAAATTTTCATGAAAGATTACAAGACCTGAAGTCTGTAAATAACTTTTAACTATATAGAAGATAATGTATATCAATAGAGATGCTAAAAAGCATACTCTAAATAATATTGTCATATTGTCCTGTAGACAAAATAATCTTAGACAATTTTACAAAATATTGAATCATTGATGAAAATCATATCCAATTGGTTATGATCAATTCCCTGAAGTGAATGTGATATACAAGTAAATGGTTAAAGAGGTTATTGATTTTATATTGGAATTCAATTCGAGATAGATGAACCTGAAGTATCATCATCTCGAGGGGGAGAATGGATGAATCCCACAATCAATAATAATGGAACATCTAGAAGATTATGTTCACACTCAAGATAAACTTGATCATTGATCAAGAAAAATAAGAATCCCTAATTCATAATCCAGAAGATTATATTCAAAGATAATGATCCTGATGAATCATATATAAAGTAATGAATTCAAATCAATAGACAATAAATAGGAAAAGTTAAATAGATGTTATATAGTAAACCAGAAGTTTACCGAATATAATATAATTTGGCATGAACTGGTTAGACCATTCAGTTCAAGATATTATGCGAAATAAAATACAACATGTAGACATTTGTTGAAGAACTAGAAGATTCTTCTAATGATTTCTAATGTGATATTCTATCATATGAGATTATGATAATACAATAATTATCACTAGCCAAATAGATTTTGAGTCTACTCATTTTCTAGAGAGTATACAAGAACATATGTGGTTTAATAACATTTTCGTGGACTAATCATCCCTAAAGGAAATTTTATGTATGTATCATATTATAAATCTGCAACCTGAAGTTTGCAAGATTACTTGTAGTGCTAGTGAATTCACATCTTAAGTCTTTGATGAGAAAATCATGTTTGTAAGAACTAAATACACATTGAACATCCAGTAGATAATGTTCATACACAAAAGCATTAATTCGCATAAAGCCAACAAAGAATTAAAGATTCTCCCCATCGAAATTGGTTTTGGGTCAGAAACCTTTGGATGTGCAATATACATCCACATTGCTCCACCACAGCAATATAAGATAGATCTCCAGAAGAGATTGTAGATGTTGGATATGAATCTCCATTGATAAAATCTAGAGCTATTCATGAAAGATTTAAGTAAGGCTCGATTTATAGACTACCATGTTAATGGATAAGTCTTTCCAACATCAGGGGGAGAAATAAAAGGCTGGAAAGAAAAGTAGTTTGAATGAATTATCATTGATCCTCGGACTATAGAATGTGAAATAGAAGTCCAAAAGATAGTTCATTCACAAAACTTATTGTATCAGTTGCCAGATACATTTACTGACCCAAATATAGTGATTGAGTCACTTACCAGCTGTAAATGCTCTAATAAGAATTGATGTCCCAGAAGGACAATATCAAGCTGCTAGTGAGTCTAAAGAACGCATGAAGCGTGATAGACTTGTCGGTTCCAAATATTAAATCCTCGAAAAAGTAAAAGAGCATAAATTGACAATGGTCAAACCGAGGAAACAAATATTTTTGAGTGATCTCCAGAAGAGACATTAAACATGACAAAAGGAGCTCATTATCGATGGAATAATAGATAACTAATTTCTCTCTTTTCTTGTTCTCCCTTCTTACTATAACAGGTGCCGCTTTGTTTGGTTTTGTGGTCTTGTAACAAGGAAGAATCAATTTACAACAGAAAGTCAATGAAGCAATTAGTAAACAAGAACATCACAATTCACAAGTGTTCATTTGGTTAAACCTGAAAATTTAGCTCGCTTTGGTTGCTCCAAAGATGTTAATTAATGGATCTGAGGCCTTTAAAAAAGATGGAGAGAGATTTTAAGTTTGTTCTGTTTCCATTTTGGAAGTGCATAGAAATCGGGTTTTGTCAATTTAAATCTTTCTTCAAACTCTCTCTCTGTTAAGTACGCCTGAAAGACAACATTGCATTAAACTTCATGTGTTTGTAAATATATATATATATATATATATATATATATATATATATATAGCTAAATTTAATATGGAATTGCAGGAATGTACCTCTCTTCTTGTTGCATCTATATCTTTCACCGGCTCCTGAGAATCAACTCTAAGCTGTTCGTATGAATATGCAAGTGACTCTAGACTAAGATCGAGATTGATTCCTCCGAGCTGATTCTCTTTAGAAATGTCTGTGTTGGAGCTCGAAGCTTCTCTCGCCGATCCTGCAATTAAATCCACTTAAGAGTTATATAACCAAGAACTTGAATGAAAATGTTGACATATGAAACCTTTACCATTACTAGTATCCACTGAAAGAGTTTCTGAGAAAAGATTTTTGACAACTGGAGTGGAGTTGCTGCTGCTTTTTCTGTCTTGTGCAGAGCTCACACTCGAGGAAGGTGATACACCTCGCTCTGTTCCGTTTGAGCTCACAGATCGACTTCGTAAATCACGTGATGCATTCTCCTTCGAGTGTGATCTCCACGAGCTTCCACTAGATCTCTGAAAGCACAAATGTTGTAGGCTACTTAAAACACACATGGATCATTCTTATATCTGTGGCTAGTTTACGATCATAGCTGTTAAAACATGTCTACTCTCGCATGTCCAAGTTTATGGTTTTGTATGAGTTTATAAGCCATGATTGTAACACATGTCAAGTGAAGTAATTAAGGTATTTTGACTGTGACTTACCTTAGTGTTTGGCTTCGTTCCTTTAAGAGTAGCAAGCTTCCTTTCAAATGAATTACCATCCATCTACAATTTGGACAAAAACCCAAAACTTGAAAATTCACTAGACTACTATCAAAACATTTTGGAATCTCTCCTCTGTTTGAGATGACTTACGTTTGCCTTTTCAGGAACCCACTCAAAGAAACGAGTGAAAAACGGTGGCTCGTGGCCTTCTGTGACAACATACACAGGAGTCATCAAGGCCAAACCTTCTTCCAGAATGTCCATCTCTAGGAATTTCTGTAATCTCACAAGTAGAAGAGAAGAAAGAGATGTTCAATGACAAAATTTTGTCATTCTTACTCTTATTTATGCAGCTGTTCTAGTTTAACTCTGTTTGATGTCTGTGAAGTAGCTACTTCAAACAAACAGAATACATATGGTAGGCCAAATAAAGAGGAAACTAACCAGACCAAGAGCGAGAGCTTGTTGTTTCGACTTTACGTTTGAGTTTGATCCAATCCAGACATATACTTCACTTTGGCAGTCCAACAATAATACATCTTCAGTAGTTAAATCGTCTTGCACAAAATTGTATATTTCTTTCACCTGAAAAAACATGCAGATAATGAAAATCAGATAAGTGTAATTCCGACCTGATCTGTAATCTATAACTATTCATAGACAGCATAAATACATTACCTTGAGTACGTCTGAACAGAAGAGTCAAACCAGTCATGGACAACTTTTACGTTAGGCACAGTACAAGTGTTTATAGCTAAGTAAACAATAATGTCAGACGACAAATATGCACATGGAAGATTTTTTTACCATTACTTGAACTGCAGGAACATGTAAATAAATGTGGTTCAAATAAACATTTGATCTTTGCTTTTTTTCAATGATAAATTTCCAAATGTATTAACATAATATATTGACTGAGACTAATTTACTAACATAAATTTATTAATAGAAATATATTAACTGAGATTCATTTACTATATAATTATAAATTTATTACCATAATTATATTAACTCGGATTCATTTACTATATAGTAAATATAAATTTATTAACATAAAGAGTTAAGTTGTATTCTCTCCGTTTCAAATTAGTTGTCGTTTTGGCAAAATGTATCTGCAAAAATTTAGATGTATTTGGACATATTTTGCATTGTAGATACATCCAAATAATTGCAGATACATTTTGCCAAAACGACAACTAATTTGAAACGGAGGGAGTATTGGTAAACATATTTGCTTTATTGTAAAAATTGAAACAAAGAGATTTAATTAGATATCGATCTAATAATAATTAAAGTGATTCAATGTTTGAAATTTTTCCTCAATGCTTAAGAAGTGATAGAAAGTACATTTAAGAATATCGTTTAAAATGATAGAGACCATTTTCTCATGGAGATATTAAACCCCGGAATCAAGTAAAATGTCTGGAACATTATATATTACAAATACATACGAGACAAAAAGATAATAATAAACGCAATTAAAAATTTACACGATGAAGCAAAGAGACGAAATAGCTAAACACATTTTCTTTGTATTATCAATGTATCATACATACGGGTCACAGCATAATCATATTGTTGATCATATCTGGTTACTGTTGTCTTGTTTTTTTTTTTTTGAAAACTGGCTTTGTACTGTTGTCTTGTTGATGCGTTTCTTTATTGCTTAAGCAACCAATAAGACAGAACAAAAATACTAAACACGTGGGCTTCTATCAAGATTATTGTCTCTCATCCTCGCCCTTGGCCAAACTGAAACAAGTACAAATACACATTTAGAAACATAATTATAAGTAAAATAATGATCATGGTAGGTTTATAAAACCAATTCTTTGTGTATTGGATACTTTTGTTTTTCTTCAAAACTTTGTCTCTCTAGTTCACTTTTGTTTTTCTTCAAAACTTTGTCTCTCTATTCGTTCTTTCATAAATTTAAGAACTAATCATCATCATTGATGACGTTGATGAACCCGTTAGCTTTCTAGAGCCAATCAAATAACTATTCAAAGGAAAATGAAATAAATAATCCTATGTTTATTAAAATCGACCCACCTTATTTTGAGTACAAGTTTCAAGTGGTGGTCCATCCAAGAAACTATAATGGTACTCATTCGAGCTTAGAAACTAATATACTGTACTCAGGCTTATTTTAAGTTGATACAAAAAAAAAAAAAAAAAAAAGACACAATACGGTCCACACTCCACAAGTGTACCCTCTTTACCAAATCAAAAACCTAACACTAATTCTCTCTTAACATATATAAAAACAAACCTCTTCGACTCTTAACACAACTCATCTCTCTAATCACCAAAACATAAACACAAGGAAAGAAACATAACGTAAACAAATGGCGAATAATCTAGAGCGACGCGACAGTGATGTAGAAGAAGATTACATAGACATGGAAGTAACTTCTTTCACAAGCCTGGTACGCAAATCTCTGACCAACAACAACAACAACCCTCGAGAATTCGAGTTCCAGATGACTCATCTTTGTCCTCTCGAGATAGACAAAACTTCTTCTCCTGCAGACGAACTCTTCTACAAAGGCAAACTCCTCCCTCTCCACTTGCCCCCACGTCTCCAAATGGTCCAGAAGCTTCTAGAAGATTACACTTTCGACGACGAATTCTACAGCACTCCTTTAGCTACCGGAACGGCTACAACTCCGGTGACGAGCAACACTCCGTTCGAGTCGTGCACCGTCTCTCCGGTAGAGTCTTGTCAAGTGAGTAAAGAGCTTAACCCTGAAGACTATTTCCTTGATTATTCAGATTCCGTGGAGGAGAAGAAATCTTGGGGCAAGAAACTGGGATTGATCAAGCAATCGAACCTTGGAACGAAGATTAAAGCTTCAAGAGCTTATCTAAGATCATTCTTTGGTAAGTCAAGTTGTTCTGATGAGTCAAGAGTTGCTGATGAAGGATCGATTTTGAGGTATTCGCGAGTGCAGCCTCCTTTTGGACAAGTCAAAACAGAGAGACCTAAGAAACAGGTTAATGGTTCTGTTTCCGGGAGCCATAGGAGATCTTTTACGGTTTCTATGAGGAGACAACCTGCGAAGAGTTCGAACAACAAAACATCGAGTAGTCTAGGGTTTCGTCCGTTGCAGTTTCTAAAGAAATGTCCGAGTTCGAATTCAGAGATTGAGAATTCTATTCAAGGAGCTATCTTGCATTGCAAGCAATCTCTTGAACAGAAGCAAAAGCAGTATAGTGCTAACGAGGTCGGATTCTGTTCGTTGTCAGCTTCAAGAATTGGGGTGAAGGATGATCAAGAACGGGCTCAACTCTGTAGGGGATAACCAAGAAATTTGGATATGAAGAAGATGAGAAAATAAGAGTTGAGTGAGAGTGAGAGAACTAGAGATCAGATTCTTTGTTTTCTATTGATTTTTCCTCTTATTTGCTTCTTCGTTTGTTTTTGTTGAGATTTTGTAAATCCCAATACTTGTTTCGTGTCCGAAATAATGGATATCGGTTTTTGGATTCAGTTTAACTTGTGTCTGAGGTTTTCTAGATCAACTCAAATATGATTGGCTTATAAATTAATGCAAATGTCCAAGTGTGAAATTCTGATGTGGTAAAATTATTGACCTAGCTAGTTTCTCTATATCAAACTCAATTACTAAACCTAGTCCTTACATATGTTATTTATGTTAGTTGATGAAATTTATTTCATATAAGCATAACTAAAATTTAACCATATTTTTTTGAAGTTTATCAGCAATGATTTTATTTTATATTTAGTTATTGCGAAAATTCCCGGATACAATATCATCAATCTCCAATATTGTTAAATTGCAGTCACAAACTCACAATGTTAAAATCACCACAAAATAGTGATATTAGCAGGTGTGAACCTCAAATGTCAAAGAGAAAATATATAATTTATTGGATAGTGATTGAGAGATTGAAATGATAATTTTCATAAACACGAGAGTTCCGAGTCAGACGAGTCGTAATCACCGTAGAAAGGTTCACTTCTTAAAGTTGAAAAGAAGGACATATCGGGAAACATGGATCCATGCTTTCAGAAAGCTGATCGCTACTTCGCTCCAAACAAAAATTATTAATTGAGTGTCATTTGTATAAACAAGTTATTTATATCTCAATGGAGAAATTCATGTGTATAAAAGCATCATTACAAGACATCATGATGTATACAGCAACGTTGAGGTTAGGTCGAGTCCCGAAGTCTAATTAGCCACTTTTTGTGTTATGTTTCTTTTCTAGAGTCCTATTTTTATGTCAAAGTTCTATTAACTTTAATATATACTCTAGATTTTTTTTAATGGTAAACTATCTAAGCTTAATGGTTACGAAACCGTCTTTTTTTCTAATGAAGATATAAGAAAGAGAACTTAGCTTTACTGTTAATTCTTTATACGGTTACGCCTTACGCGTTTTACATTTAGGTTTACATATTTTTTTATAAAAATAAAATTATCGTGGTTCTGCTAGAATTATTAGCTTAACATGTGTTTTAAGACCCATGAAGTTTCTTTTGGAAGTATTTGGGATTCCATTACCTCAAAACATCAGGGAGGAGTCTAAGTCAATCATCCATTATACATTGATGTCACTAAAATTTTTAGCAAGTTCAAGTAAAAAATAAAAATGAAGAATTTTTGCCAGTCACTCATCATTACCTTCGTACTTTCGAGTTTATCCTACGCATATGTGTTATGTGCAGTAAAAATGAAATGTTAGACAGATAGTATAGATGAACAAAGGAAAGTACTCCAGTGTATGTCTCTTACAAGAGTTGAGGGACGGGTTGTGTGATTTAAAAAATCAATCCAAGGTCAAATGAAAAGAATAGGATCACATCATTACAAATTTAATCCTAAAACAAAATGTTTTTGATTTTGTTTTGGTTAAAGACAACACAATGTTACTAAATAATCAAATCTAAAAAGGCAATTAAGAAGGGAGTGAGGGGGACAAGAGAACCTAAAGCTGTGGGTTGATTTAGAGTGTAGCATATCCTTTGTGTGATTGATCTGTGCGTGTGCATCGAATTTAAAACTTCAAAGCCTTAAAATAAGATTAATGTATCCAGCCAGCGCTTTACTTTACTTTCTCTTTTTATTTTTTCGTTTACTTTTTTTTTTGTATTAATATTTTTCTTTTACTTTGTTTGAGAACTGTTAATGTCTTTTACGTTTAACCTTGTTATTATGGGTGATAATCTGAGGTATATAATAGTCATCTAAAATTGTTCGTGAATAAAGTATAGTTTTCATACAAAAAACCTTTAAGAAGAGTTTCAAGTATTTTTCTTAGGGAATCGAGTAAAGGTAGATAACTGTTTTTGTTCAATACTTCAATGTACATGATGGTATTTGTGGAATTTTTCAGAAGTAATAGTATTTTTAGTTGGTGCGGCACTTATTTGAAAAATGAAAGAAAACAAAGAAAATCTCAGTTGCACCATGCGGCCCATGTTTGTATCATCCTCATTCTTAGGCCCTTATCATTTTTGAACTTAAGGCTACTTATTAACCTCCAGCAAACTGTTTTTGTACAGAATGATTCAGTTTATCGAAAAAATGTATTTTACTTTTAACAAGAAAGTATAGTCTAATTCATTCAAAAAGAAAATATCCTCTTTTGATGACAGATAATTGAAACGCTAATGAGTTTGTGGTAATTCTGTCAAGATTGACTCAGGTTATTTCCAATATCTACGTTCAAGGTGGTTTGGTTTTT